CTTTTTAACATTAATTGACTTAAAATAATTTGTAATAGAACTTGTTGATTTTGATGCATTAGTAAATGAGCCTGATGGCCCATACTTTCTATAATGGGTAGCTGTTGAATTGCCTACATAAGCTTTTTTGACATTTTTAACAGCATCATCATTCCATTCTAATTTAATGTTTGAAACAATATTATAACGAGCTCCTATAAATTCATCAGCAATTTCAGAACTATCAGAAGAATATTCTTCTGGAGCATAATCATCATCTTGATTATAACGAGCTTGCTTATTTTTATTGATAAAAATTCCCTTTCCACTACAATTTTGGCTATTTGAATGAGATTTTCTTTTTGATAATGTCATTTTTCAGAAAAGTTTTTTATAATAAAACTATTTTATTTTATTAATTAAAAATTAATGAAATTTTGTAGAAATAATATGTGCTAATAAGATCATTTAAAAATGCAATAAAAAAATTTGTTACACGAAAACACTTATTCTCAATTTTGGATCTCTATATTAAAATGGTAAAACTTTGAAACAGTGTGGCACAAAAAATTTATATATAAAATAAAATTCCAAACCGTAAGTTTTAAAGTTAAGGTCATTAGCTATCAAAATTACGGTGTACTTTTTTTTTAAAAATTTTTTTGGGTGATCTACACCCTTTTAAAAAAAGGCAACATTTGTTCCTATTATAGAGCTTCTGCACTGTAGCAAAAGCAAATCTTCTTCCACCATTTTCAGGTGCAATGTCAAAAAACGCAAATAGCGAATATGCAATAATCCATGGCCAAAAAAATGGTATTGTACAACACAAAAAGAATAAAAACAATGTAATCGGTAAAGACATAAGCCAAAATAATACAACTGCAGTTTGTTTTCTTCTTTCAAATGGAACATTTAACGGTGCTAAACGTATTTTACTTGGCTTTGTTTTTTTTTTTGATGATGGCGAGAATAATAATTATGATAAAATTTCTATATTAAAGAGTTAGCAAAAACGAAAGTAATTAATCGTAATGATGGTGGTGATGATGGTGATGAAAAGTGGAAAAAGAAGAAAAAACTTCCAAAATAATAATCGCCCATAAAGAAAAATTATATTAATCATATTGTATAATGGTCTTTACTTCTTGATTTGCGAATATATGACGACGATCAACCTGAGTTTTATAGACAGATCAACTGTTTGATAAGTTATACAACAATATCAGACTGCATATATTAATACGTTTATCAGCAAATTTAACGAAATGCTTACTTTTACAAGCGAATTTTTTTTCTTCATTACAAAATTTACAAGAACAGTTCTATAATATAAACTAAAGAATCAAAGAAAAAATCAATGCAATAAAGTCTAAAGAACCTGAAATCGAACATAAACTCTCCAAGGTTGGGCGACGAAAATAAATGTGACGAAATAGGATTTCTACACTTGAGTAATTTGACGAAAGTGACGAAAGCGACGAAATCATCAAAACAATAAAATAAACCAATTATTTTGATAAAATTCATAATGTCAAATTCTAATTCACCCAATTTCACCAATTCCTTCTCAATCATCATCATATAATATGAATTTGCAAACATTAAAATTAGATAATATATTGCACTTCATTAAAATAGTAAATGAAGAAGCATTTCAACAATCAGAAAGTTATGAACCAGCAATAGATGTGAAGCAGCAATTCCTGTTAAAACTTTGCGTACAAAAATTAAGTATCCAACTAAGAAACATGATTTACAATGTAAAAAAAATGCTTAATTAAATTTTTGTTTTAATTAAATCTAAACAAAATTGATTTTATATTTTTGTCATCTTTATCATAATTTAACTTTTGACTTTACCCTTTGTCACTTTTTGTCACATGCGCCCCATTTGACGAAATACTTTTTACATTCCATTTAATAAAATGGTAACTGAAAATTTAAGTTACCCAGAGAGAGAGAAATAAATTTCTGCTTCTACTATTAAAAACTTTTTACCAATGAAAAATATGGAAAAGAATAAAGAGATAGAGGATGCTAAAGAAGATAACGATGATAATAATAATAATGATAATAGTAATGATAATAATATAGTATAGAGATTTCTGCAGAGTGATCAAAGAATCATAGAATCTTCGTACTCGCTGCTAATTTAGATATCCAATTTCTATCTTTATAAATTCTCATTGTAACACCGTTAATTATAGTGATCTTTTCGTCACTACTGATAGTTGTTTCATTATCTAAGAATAAAAGTTTTGATTTTGAAAATTAGAATCTTCAATCTAACAGAGATTGCTGTAATTTTTTTTTTAAACTAAGATTTTCTGAGCATTCCATGAAATATAAAGTAAAAATAAATAGATTTTATGATTATATATATATTTATATGGGCATGATCTAATATACAAAATATATTCAATTTTTTTAATTTCTAAAAGAAAATATCCTTCCCCAAATTATAAAACGAATAAATTCGAATAAATTTGAATAAAACGAATAAATTTGAATAAAACGAATAAGTGAATAGAGTAAATAAAACGAACAAAACGAATAAAACGAACAAAACGAATAAAACGAACAAAACGAATAAATTCGAATAAAGCGAATGAAACGAATGAAATGAATGAAACGAAATTTGTATCACGAATAGAAACCACGCATTATAAACAAACAAATAGCTTTTATTGAAAGATAATTAATTTTGTCCCTTTGGTGTTAATGATTGAATCGATCACACAAGTAGTAGTAGTCAATTTAAACAGCATTGTTTTTAGAGAATTATTCAAAATAATATTATTAAATGTATAATGTTTAATGATTTTTAGTGTTGCAAATTTTTTTGATACATCAATCTCAGTCCAAAATAAATCATATTTATATACTTTAAAGTTTCTTTATTTCTTTTTTTGATAAATAATAAATTTATCCTTTGTTTATTTGTTTTGGTAGATTCAAGTGAGTAGATTTTATTAGATCAAATGGTACATATGCACTGATTTTGTTTGAACCCCAAAATCCAGTACGGTATGACCATAACGTAATGGATACTTTATACTAGCAAAACCCATTGGTTTTGAGGTGGAGACATTAGTTTGACGGGTTATCGAATAGTAAAATAGTTTTTTAGCGGAGCAAATAAATTTTTGGGGGAAATTATTATTCTATTGACCAGTTTACACATCATGTTTAACGTGTTTAACATCGGGACACAATAAGATATAAGGTTTGAAAAAAGGAACTAAAAAATCAAATCGGCTGATATGACACTACAGCAAATTTTCGGAGCCAATTACGCGTAATAAGTATACATAGCTTTTATCCCACGTGTAACCTCGTTTATGCAATTATCCATTTTCACTTATACCTACTAAAGATCACTTGAGTATATAGACATTCAGTACTGCACTCTTTTGCATTCCTGTACTGTATGGTCTACAAAAATAGAAATTTTTTTAAAAAAGTCATACACCAACATACATACAGTACACAGCACCCCCATCAATCAAATGGATTCTGTACTCGTAACATTTAATACAGAAATGCTGATTTGCAGATCATGCAGTACAGGAATGCAAAAGTGTACAGTACTGAATGTCTAACGATTGAGATAACTTTTATAATATGTTATTTATGCCAGACTAGTACATAACGATACTAATAATATATAAAATTAAACAATATATTTACGCAACATAATACATTAATTGCATCATATATAAAAATAAATTATTTATAAAGTTAACAGATATATTTTTACATTTTACAAGTTTTAATTTTATTCCATGATAAAACTCATTATTATGAATTTCATTTAAAGGTCTTTTTTTTGAATTATGAGAGATAAATTCAGTGTCACTTTCATTGTTATCTTTAGTAATATCGACATCACCAATATTAATATTATCTGAGATGTTATCTTTAGAATTAATATCATTTGTAGAATCATCATTGTTTAAGTTCATTTAAATTGATGTCACCATTAATAATATCAACAACACAGTTATTATTTTTAGTGGTACCAGGTAGTGTTAATTTAGCAGTTTCTAATTTTTGTTTTTCATTTCCTGAACAATAACAATCCAAGCTTGCTAGAGATCTATGTAGAGTGATGTTCATAATTGACTGTGTATCAACTATACATGAAGTCAAAATTAAAACCCCAAAGTTGAAATGTTTCAACTTGAGGCAACTACATAGTAAAAATCAGTTTTGACCTTATTTTGACCCTATTTCAACCAGATCTGCAACTGGTCAAATAGTTTCGACTTCATGTATAGTATCAACACTTTCATCATTTAGTTTTGTGCAGTTCTTTTTCTTATAGAGTGATTTACTACCCTTCTGCTTTCACAGTCTATGCTGTGATTTCACATATTAGCTTTAACATACTATTTAATTTATCTCTTCCAAGATGTTGTGGTAAATACCATTTACCATTTCAAAAATGCAAATAAAAATTTTTTAAAAAAGGGTTACACGTGATTTTGGTTAAAAAAATTATTTTCCTTACTGCCAAATTTAGATATGATAGTCGCGTGTTGGGCTAAATTTAGTAATGATGATCAAAAAACTAGTATAAATTTAGCAATGATCCTAGCGCTAAAATTTCTCAAGAGCATAGTAATAGTAATAGTATTATTATTAATAATGGTATAATCAAAAACAAAAAAATCTGATCATTAAATAAGTTGTTTTTGCAAATTGTAGAATCTATTATTATAACCTAATTAATTTATATACTTCAACATTAATGTCTAATAAACAATTACTTTTGAAGAAAGTTTCAAATCAGTTGAATAATTTATTTATTAATTAATTTATCCTAACTTAAGCCAACCAAATAATTGTCTCGGTGAATAATTTTTTTTTCTTTGATTAATTGGTATTAATACTATTACTATTACCACCACCACCACCACCACCATTATTATTATTATTACTATCTGAATTTTTTGCCTTAGCTGCAAGTTCCATATCGATACGTTCTTTAGCTCTGAAAACTTTAGACTGTATATAAAATGATCCTCCAGTTGATGTATTGTTCACTTTAAATAAATGGTCAAAATTCTTTTTTTTTGTTATTATAAAGACATTTTATTATCATTGTAGAACATTATAATTATATATTACAATTTTCGCTCCAATTCCCCAAAAAAATCATTTATAAATAAAATAGATGAATAAATGAATATGTATGTATATTTCAAAATACCTTAGTAATCTGATCAGTATTCATAATATCTTTCTTCACGTTTAATATCTGACATGCTTCGTCGACAGTCATACCGGTTTTTCTTGTTAATGCATCCAAAACTCTCGAAGAGCCTCCCCCTCCATTATTTACTGCTGCACCACTATTTCTTGACGCGTCTAACAATAATCATAATGTATATAAACATAAATATATTTTTTGTTAGTACTATAATAAAATATAAATCGAATTGGAAAAACCCTACTTGCTACTGCTTGTTTATATGCCTCTATGAAAGCCTTCCCTAATATTTGACTTCCGATAACTATAATTTGAGCAATTACTCTTGCCTAAAGTTTTTAAATCCGAGAAAAAAATTCACTTTACATATTGTACATAATAAGTAATAAATAGTTTTAAGAAAGAATAAATATTCAAACCATTTGTTTTTATGAAATATTAGAAAAGATTTTAATGTAAATTTTTTTTGAATCTAAAAAAAAATTAAATTTTTTCGATAATCTAGATAATCTATCAAAAAAAAATATATATATTAAAAATTAATTATAAAAAAATGGTAAAATCCTATCTTAGATACGAACCATATAAAACTTTTGGTATAATAGCAAGCTCTTTATCTAATTCAGTACTTTCTAAAGATGGTAAACTCGCCATTACACCTGCTCTTGAGGATGTCGTCATATGGGATATAAAAAAGGGTATACAGGTTAGACGTTATTTTGTAAACTTTTATCATTATCATTATCATTATTATCATCATTATTACTCAATAAACTAATACCTATTCATTATTATTGTTACTTGATAAATTAATGCTTATTCATTATTTTTAGGTTAATAAATGGCATGATGTTAATAATAATTCAGAAGTAACTGTTATAACCAGAAATCCAAATAATACTGATTATGCCGTTGGGTTATTATCAAAAGAATTTTAATTATACAATTCGAGTAATTCATTTATCTAAATACAAATTTATGTTTATGTTTATTCATATTTGTAAGTTATTCAGATGGATCAATTCGTTTATGGAATATTGAGAAATCATCAACATCAAATATATTTAATGGTCATCGTGGAGCAATTACAGCTTTAACTTTTGATCAGTCAGGCACAAGATTAGCATCAGGTTCAAAAGATACAGATTTAATTGTATGGGATGTTGTTGGTGAGATAGGACTTTATAGGTAGATACATGAATAAATTAGATTAAATAATTCATTTCAAGTATTAATCAAAAAAATCTTTTCATGTATTTGATTAGAATGCGTGGACATAAAGATCAAATTACCTCGGTTAAATTTCTATCAAAATCAGTATTTGGTATTAATAAAAAATCAAAAGAAATTTTGTCTTCTTCATCACTGTCTGGATATTATTTAATTTCATCATCTAAAGACACATTGTTAAAACTATGGGATTTAAGTACTCAACATTGTATGGAAACAATAGTGGCACATCGTAGTGAGATTTGGAATTTTGATATTTCACAAGATGAGAGTTTACTGGTAACAGGTGGTGATGATAATGAATTAAAAATTTGGACCATTGATCATGAATTGCTAACAAAAGGATCAGAATCTAAAGAAAGCAAAGACTCTGAGGTTTGAATGTTTTTAAAAATAATGTTTAAAGCACTATTAATTGCTTAATTCATCATATTAGTAAAATTTTTTTAAAAAATTTATTATAAAATAGGTTAAAAGATCAATTAAATTCTATGGAAGCGTGACAAGACAAAGCAAAGATCGGGTTGTTACATTGGCATTTCATCCTAAATTAAATCTATTGGGTGTTCAAGGTGCAGGCAAAATAATAGAATTTTTTCGTATTAATAAAGATGAAGAGATAAAAAAGAAATTGGCTCGAAGAAAGAAACGCGAAAAGGAGAAACGACAAAAATTAAAAGAAAGTGTAACAGTTGATGATGTGGATATGGATTTGGATGAGAAGGGACTAGAAATTCGAGCAAGTGATGCATTCACCTCATTTCAAATTATCAGAACTGATGGGAAAATACGATCTTTTGACTTTTCACTATCGGAAGATACATTTAAGACAGGCTATGCCCAAGTTCTTGTTTCTTTAACAAACAATATGCTTGCACTATATAAAATTAGTCTACCTTCTAAAAAAGGCTTGGAGCCTCAACTTTTATATACTGTTGAAATTCATGGACATCGTAATGATATTAGAACATTGGCACTAAGTTTAGATGATGAATTATTATGTTCTGCCTCCAAAGGTATTATTTTATATATTATTATACATTACTTAAAAATATTTATACTCTTGTCATCTTTTATTTTTTAGATACCCTTAAAATTTGGAATGTTCGAACTACAACATGTATTCGAACTATGGAATGTGGGTTTGCATTTTGTAGTGCTTTCGTACCAGGAAATCGATATGTTTGTACTAAAATTTTTTATAAATATTACCAAATTTTAATATAAACTTATTTATTTTATTTTACTTTAATAGGTTATACTTGGTACTAAAACTGGGCAACTTGAATTATTCGATATTTCTTCTTCATCTTTGATAGGGAGAATAGATGCTCATGAGAGTCAAATATGGTCGATAGATATTCGACCTGATCAATGTGGAATTGTCACTGGAAGTGCTGATTCAAATATTAAGTTTTGGGATTTTGAAATGCCAATAGAAAAAAATAATGATGATGATGATGATGGTGATGATGATACCAAAAAGGGAGAAAATGATGTAGCTTTATCATGTTCTTTATTATTAATTTAATTAATGCTATGATGTATTCATTATATTGACAAAAAATACATTTTATTTTAATAGTCAATAATACGACATCTTAAATTGGTTCATAATCGTACTCTAAAAATGAGTGATGATGTTTTGTGTGTCAAATATAGCCCAAATCAAAAATTTGTTGCAGTAGCATTATTAGACTCAACAGTAAAAGTATTTTATGATGATACATTGAAATTTTTTTTGTCTTTATATGGGCATAAGGTATATAGATTATTTTATATTGCTACTTTTTATTGCACTCATTTTTTTTTTAAAAAATCAATCATATTAAACAAATATTTTATTTAATTCCCTTAATAAAATCAAGTTACCAGTTATTTCAATGGACATTTCATCTGATAATAAATTAATAGTAACTGGTTCTGCAGATAAAAATATTAAAATATGGGGTCTTGATTTTGGTGATTGTCATAAATCAATTTTTGCTCATCAAGATAATATAATGTGCGTTAAATTTGTTCCCAATACACATTACATATTCACTGCAAGTAAAGATAAATTGATAAAATATTGGGATGGCGATAATGTATGTAGATTAATATTATGTTTCTTATAAATGATTTTGATATTTTTAATAATGTTATTCTGTTTCTTTTTTAAAAAATTAGTTTGAAAATATCATGAAGATTGAAGGACATCATGGCGAAATTTATTCTTTGATAATTGGAAAACATGGTGATTTAATCATTTCAGCATCTCGTGATCGGTCAATAAGATTTTGGGAACAAACAGATGAACCAGTTAATATATTTAAAAGATATTTATCCTAGTATCGTTTTTAAAATTTCATTAACAGAAATAAAAAAATTTAACTTATAAATTTTAGTTGTTCCTTGAAGAAGAACGTGAAAAAGAATTAGAAGAATTGTACGAGTCTACTTTGACTGAATCAATGGAAAAAACAAAATTAGAAGATAACACTGTAGAAGTATCATCAGCTGGGAAACAAACCATGGAAACACTCAAAGCTGGTGAAAGAATAATCGAAGCATTAGATATTGCTAATGAAAATGATCAAAACTGGATCACATACAATCAGGTTGGTGTCATGGTTTTGTTTTAAGTTGAATTTTATATTATACGTGTAACTAAACTATTACTGTATGATTAAATTTTTAAGTTGAAGGAAATTAATAAAGATCCTGGTCCACCACCAAAACCAAATCCTATTCTGGTAGCACTTGGTAACTTAACAGGTGATCAATATGTGTTAAGAACAATCGAGAAGGTGAGATCTACTGAATTAGAAGAAGCTTTGTTGATACTGCCATTTAATAAATTGGCTTCACTATTAAATTACCTGGATATTTGGGCTAAAAAGGTTTGTTAAAAAATAAATAAATTAACAGTTGTATAATATTTAATTGTTTATATAAAAATTTTTTTTGATAGGAATGGAATGTTCCATTAACTTGCAGAATATTATTACATCTACTTAAAATACATCATGATCAAATTGTTACAAATCGTCTTATGAGGCCAAGATTAGATTCTTTACGAACAAATATCAGGAATACTTTAATGAGACAAAAGGTTTACAAATTATTCAAATGTTACAATTTTATTATTTTTTTTTTTTAATTAAAATAAAATTTTTTTTCTTCCAAGGACTTAATTGGGTATAATATAGCAGCACTTAAATATATTCGACGTGATTGGGAATCAAATAATATAGCAGAATTCTTTGATGAACTAACTGAAATAGATGAAATAGAAGGTGGTGGCTCATTAAAGAAAAGAAAATTAGTTAATTTAAAATCATAATAAAAACATTTATTTATAATAATTAATAAATTTCATCTTTGTTGTTTTTGAATAGCAACTGATTTTTTGTTTGTTTAATTTATTTTCTCAATTTTTACCTTGATCTTTAATCTTTCGTTTTCTAATTATAATATGAATCGATAGATTATTATTAAATCCTTAAATATAAATCTAAGCTTCTCCCATTTAATTAAAAATTGCCAATTGTACAAAAGGTTGTATTATTCTTTCGATGCCATAGAGAATTTGATCTCAAAAAATAAAAAAGTTAGTGCTGTTTGTGTGATATTTAAGGCTTTACCATAGAGAGGGCCATATATGAGCAGATTTGTAAAAATTGTGCACGATTGTAAAAGACATCTTTTTTAGTAATTAAAAAAGAGGACGTGACAAAATTTTGAATGAATGCAATGATAGGATCTCTGTTTCTTGGAGTTACTAGGTTCTTTTTGACACCCATAAGTTCTATTGCTTCTATATGCGCCTCCTCAGTTTGAGGTACATGAAGATTCATTTCATCACCATCAAAATCAGCATTATAAGGATTACAAACACACTCATTAAATCGAAAAGTTCTCCTTAACCTTTAAAAAAATTAAAATTAGAGCTTTAATGTTTAATCCTTTCTTTTTGTATAAAAATTATGTATTGATATTTATATTTTTTTTATATCGGTCGCGTTTACTTTGTCAAAAATTATTTCGTCGACAATCATTTCGTCGACACCTATTTCGTCGAAAGTTTGTTTCATCGAATGTTCATTTCGTCGAATGTTCGTTTCGTCGAATGTTCATTTCATTGAAATAATTTCATTCTCGAGCCAGAGACCGAATGAGTTAGATGTGAAGTTAGTTAAGAAATTAGGTG